CCATTTGCACACATAGCACACATACTTAAAATATATATCTATATAATTAAATCTACAGCACTGACCTGGTCGCCGCCGAACGGGTCTTTTCTTGCCGCTGCAGAAACGGACTTTGCTGAAGACCCCTAAGAAATGCCTCTCGCAGATAGAGCGGGGGTCTTTGCTGGGGCTGGGGCGACGCTTCGAAGTGGAGACCCGGTCGCTGTTTGACTCCCTCGCCTGGCGCTTCTGCCGGATCAGGGAGCTGGCGATCGCAGCCATCTCCCCGAACCTAGTCTGAAAACCGAGAGTCTAGTTCGGCAGATGTCGGATCTTGATGCGGCTTCTTTGCGCAATAAAAAAAAGAGAGTAGATTCTGTGTTTCGGTCCACGAGTGTTTCAACTAAATGTCATCCTGCTTAGAAAATCCTCCGAGTCCCAGGCATCATTGCACTTCAGGCAGCATCCTCTTGGGGGGCCACTAGTGTGTGATTCAGCTGCCGCGAGTTTATGGCACACGGGGCTCCGAATCAACAGCAAACAATCTAACCTACAAAAAGCATAAACCTACTTGCTATAGGACACACGGGCCGAGATGTCAGACGTGGAAACGTGCAACAGCGTTGAGAAGTTGATGCTGATGCGTGTCATTGGAGAGCTTCGGGTATTCCAGGTGAACGGTGCCGCGTCTAACGAGCACGACTTCGTTGTCCTCATCTGCACAGAAGCCTCTCCTCTGGCTTCCCGACGCCTTTTGATAATTCGCATCAACCTAAATCCATGTAGGCTGCAGGACGCTCGTGCGTGTCTGAAGAAAAGTATGTTAACTTTCTTACTAGTTATTTATTCAGCGCACATTGATGAATGGGAACGTCCTCGGCCGGTCCGGGCTGCCGTGCAGGAGCCCCGATATCACAGTCCAGTGTCTGGTTCCGTCGATGCCACCGATAAATGCAGCCGGAAAATGGAATCGGCAGCAGAGACTAGGCTGCTCTGCAAGGATGCTGCAGAGATGTAATTAAAGCCTGCAGGGAGGGATGCTCGTCTGAAAAGCAACAATTAGTTGAGGCCAACACACACCAGCGCTTTGTTTTGTAGCGCACAAAGAGGCATCGTCTCTAGTGCGTCCCGACTGGATGCTGTCGGTGTGTTACATCGCCGACAACGGCAGTGAACGGTCGCCTCTCTCTCCCCCCCTCTATATCTTCCTCACCCCTCACTCACCCTCTCCAACTCTTAACGCAATCATACGTGATCGAGGTTTGTATTAGTAATTCTCAGGGGGTATACAAGGAAAGATAAAACGATATACAGTATATAAAAGGAAAAGGCAGAGGGGTAAATACTAGGTGGGTGGATCTAAAAGGGGGGCGGGTGATTTCACAAATGTCTCACTGAATTGCACTTTCAATCTAAAGTTGCAAATCAGTTTATAAATCGGCCCCGTCAGACGGCAGAAAGGCTGCATTACACTATTAAAGAAGCAGCTCAGAGACATCTTAATCAGCTCAGGCTGATAAGACACTACTCTTAGCTAGGCCATTTTCAAAAACCACTTGACCACACATTCCATAAAGAACATATTAAATGCCCCCTGCAACAGGTTTCTACACACAGATTGTGAACATAAACACCACTGACACCCAGATAGTGACACAACACACGGATTATATGATTTAGGGCCTCTGGTAATAAAATGAACCACATGACACACTAAAACAGCACAACAGCCCGTGTCATACACTAAGAAAGACTGTACAGATGCTCTGTTTTCATTGCGTAATGGGGATGGCTATGACTTATGTTTAAGAATAAAGGCAAATCAATACAAAGACACTAAGAAATGGCCTGAAAATGTGTGTGTGTGAGCCAGCGCTTCTTCCTTTTTTCTAGTGGTGGAAAGTAACTAAGTACATTTACTCAAATACTGTACTTAAATACATTTTTTAGGTATAAGTACTTGAGTGTTATTATTTTGTGCTACTTCATACTTTGACTTCACTACATTTTAAAACTTTAGTTACTAGTAACTTTTCAAAACCAGATGAAGTATAATTTCAATACTTTATTAATTTTCAGTGGAACATGCACTTCCTACCTACTGGTAATTCATATTATAAGTTAAAACTAGTTAGGTTTGTTAAGACTAGCTCTGCTTTTACCAGCTACAACATTAAATGTGATGTACACAATAATGTATCAGTAATTATAACCCAATAATAGGAAACATTTACTCAAATACTGTACTTAAATACATTTTTTAGGTATAAGTACTTGAGTGTTATTATTTTGTGCTACTTCATACTTTGACTTCACTACATTTTAAAACTTTAGTTACTAGTAACTTTTCAAAACCAGATGAAGTATAATTTCAATACTTTATTAATTTTCAGTGGAACATGCACTTCCTACCTACTGGTAATTCATATTATAAGTTAAAACTAGTTAGGTTTGTTAAGACTAGCTCTGCTTTTACCAGCTACAACATTAAATGTGATGTACACAATAATGTATCAGTAATTATAACCCAATAATAGGAAATACACCAATGTTAACTGTGCCATTCTGCATAATGAGTACTTTTACTTTCCATACTTTAAGTATGTCTCTATGCTAATACGCATACTTTGACTTCACTACATTTTAAAACTTTAGTTACTAGTAACTTTTCAAAACCAGATGAAGTATAATTTCAATACTTTATTAATTTTCAGTGGAACATGCACTTCCTACCTACTGGTAATTCATATTATAAGTTAAAACTAGTTAGGTTTGTTAAGACTAGCTCTGCTTTTACCAGCTACAACATTAAATGTGATGTACACAATAATGTATCAGTAATTATAACCCAATAATAGGAAATACACCAATGTTAACTGTGCCATTCTGCATAATGAGTACTTTTACTTTCCATACTTTAAGTATGTCTCTATGCTAATACGTTTGTACTTCAGTAACATTTTGAATGCAAGAGTTACATGTAACAGAGTATTTTTACACTGTGGTACTGCTACTTTTACTTAAATAAGGGATCTGAGCACTTTTTCATGTCTCTTATTGCACGAGCTGAGGAAAACTCACACCACACTCATTCAGGCACACACAATGTGGGAGGAAGAACATGTGAGTCTTCAGCAGCACAGTACACCACAGCAAACCCTCCTCTCTGTGATGAAACAGCATGAAACTGTTAAAAGACTTTTTGTGGGACACAGTTTGACATTGTCTTTCCACAGAGCGAGAGAGATTGGAAAGGGAGAAGCTTTTATGACTGGCCCTGTCCGCTCCCCTTTACCAAAGATTTACTTATAATGGATGGAAGTGTTAAATGTAAGGCACTGAGAAATGAAGTGCAGATACAATCTTTTCCCAGAGCGAGACAGAGAGAATAAGGAGAAGTTAGAAACCGATGGCTGGAGTCAGTCAGAGTCTGAACTTCAATCCTTAATCCGGCTTTGTTTTCCCATTGAGTTGACAGTGAGTGGTAGAAATGAATGCCACTGCAGCATAAAGAAATAGGCTATCAGTAATAACTTCTGTATAAAATTCATCATTCCATTGAATGTGCTGGAGTGTGTATTACGTGCGTCTTTAAAAGACAAAATCCGCTGGTGGTTTGGAGTGTGACATGAGCTTACTCAAAGGGATCTTGCGGCGTAGAACATATATCTTTGTCAGGGGGAAAAACGTCCCTAATGAGGATCTGTTAGGCTTCCTGCCTCTACCAGAGACAATTGATGATCACTTCAATTCACCAGAGATACATCCGCAAGTGATAAAACACTGCTGCTATGAAATGCACTGCAGATATTATACAGTCATTTAAAGTGTCAGTTAAAATGATTTTGACACTGAGAATGTTGGCTGGTTCGTTTGTCTTCATTGTAAAAATGTTTTTGACCCTCAGTGTGCCACTATGCTGTTTGTCTTGTATGGCATAAACATTTCTGAGTACTGTGTAAAAATGAAGTAAAATGTTGAATGTGTTTCAATTTACACTCACTGGCCACTTTATTAGGTACACCTGTACAATTGTATGCAAATCATTGCAAGGTGTCCACATTAACATCTGTTTTTACGAAGCTAAAAATGTTTCAGTTTTGTAATAACTGTATAAATTCAAATACATGTTTATTATTGAGGTCATAGTTAAACGTGGTTCTGTATTGGACCACATTATATTCAGAGGTGTCTCTGTATTTTTGTCCTCCCCAGCTACATACATGAGAGGGTCAAAACATTAGAAGCACTTCTGAATATAGTCCAGTATGGCACCACCTTCATGTTTAATAATAAACATATAATTGCATTTTAACAGTTATTACAATTTCACCAAAATCTGAAACATTTTTAGCTTTGTAAACACAGATGTTAAGGCAGAAGTGTTGCACTGAGTTGCATACAATTGTACAGCTGTACCTAATAAAGTGGCCAATGAGTATATACAGCTGGTGTTGTTTTATTTTATCAGATTATGCTAGTTCTTGTGTATGCTATCAGATTTATTAATTAAAAGTGAGCATACAGTGCAGTATGGCAAATAAATATCGCTGAAAATGAAAGGAAATAGCCAGAGCCTCCATGTCCCTGTGGAGCCACCACTGTAGCATTCAACTGTAGCATTGAAGAGTGATTTCTTTATATCTGCTGCCCCCTTGTGGAGATAGAATAAACTACAAACACTCAGAGATAGAATAAACTACAAACACTCAGAGAAACTAATGGAGTTCTCTGAAGTTTGTCCTCAAGATAACTCACAGATTTGTTCAATAGCTTGAACTAGTTTTCATTGTGTAATGTCTGCTATGCTAACTTGACAACTGAAAGGGTGGAAACACGAGAGAATACGAGTGGCTCACAGTGCTCACAACCACACTAATAGCTTATTGTTTGCTTATAATTAATAACTACTACTGCACAACACTCAAGTCATATGAATGAGCACAATTAAATTACATTAAGCGCAGAAAAATATAAGATGAGAGCCCTGCATTGCAAACAAGATCATCTGCACCATATTAGCTTGTAATCTTAATATTGTGCTTAAAAATAAAACAGACAAGCAGTGCAGCAATGACCAAATGTTACCCAAAGCTATTTAGATAGATCTAGTTAATCATAAAAACAAACTGTGCTTGAAACAAACAAAGCATAACATCCTGAAACTTGCAATAAAGTTTTGGGTGTCTGACTTTACCGAAAGTGCCATGGATTGGTCCCAGCATTTACTGTATGTGACAAAGCTTATTTTACAGAACACAGTCACCTTATAAGAAACATAAAGCAGTCCCAAAGGAACCTTAAATTAACCCTGATATACAGTATATTAATCAAACAGTCACATGAAACAGTTAGAATGGCAGCTAGATAAACATCCTGCAATCCTGACATCCAAACTATTTAACTTTAGCACAAGAACACCCCGATGCACACTTGACACATGCAGGTGCAAACACTGTAGCCTACTCACAAACATCTTTCACTGGAATGTAGTTTTGGTATAGAGCCTGAATCTGCAGCATAACGTTTTGATCCTGATTGGGCCCAAGTATATTAGAGGGTTGAATGATGCATTGCTATGCAGGAGTCTATGGGTTTGGCCCCTTTTTGTAAGTGTGTTTGTTTGACCTGTGATTTAAGGTGTGTGTGTGTGTGTGTGTGTGTGTGTGTGTATGAAATATGTTCAGTTATTGAGTCTTGTGGTATCTTTAGGTATCAGAGTTTGGTTGTTTCATTGTCCGTGCGCATGGGTGATAGGTGTCTGTTTAAAATCTCAAAAGTCTGCTCTCATCAGATTTTATCTCTATTTTGAGATGACATGTTGGATGATCAGCAGAGACACACACCAATTAAAAAACAGAGAAGGTTAAACCTGTAAAGGAACAAGCAATTTGAAAAATATGGAACAAACTTCAACAAAAGTCCTCAGCTGACACAGCTTCACCTAGGTTCACACGTTCATGTTTTGCATTATTTTGCATCCAGCTGACTCATAAAGTTTTGATTGAGGTCATGAGGGTCATCTAACAGTGAGCAAAGATGCAGGATAAAGGATAATAGTTCTTTATTTCTGACAGATCCCACTGTGTGTCCTGCTTTTGGTCCATCTATCTCTGAGGAATCAGTTGTGCTTAATGGAGTTCCTAATTGCCCTGAATTTGAGAGTTGCTCCAGCTGAAACTACTGGAGATCCTATGTAGTGCAAATGACAGGAGGAGGCATAAGAAGTGTGTTGCTTTTGTCTTAATCTGCAAATACTGTGGGATGTTTTTTGTTTGTTTGTTTTTTATTAGAACCTGTAGCTTTGTTATGAGTGAACAACAGCAGCAATGCAGTAAATTGCTGAGCTATGACTAGAAGACATGGCTTCTTATGCACATTACCAGTGACTGTTGAGTGCACATGTGTATGTGTCATTGAGACTTCATACAGTTTGTGGAGGAAATATTGCAGAGCAAGTCACTTTTAATGGGAAATGTAGCTTGTCTGACACTATTTATCAACACTGTGCTTTGATTACAGCATGCAACAATGCAGTTCATGCCAAAGTGAAGTTTGGGGACATTCAGGGAGCCTGGAGAAGTGATGAGGGTGGAGTCACCTTAATGAGGAGTCATTTAATTATAAATTATATGTACAGAAGGAAGAAAAAAAAACCTATTCCGCTTTCAACTGATTTTACAGGTTAGAATCATCCAGTATAAGAGTGAAACTGATAGGTAGTTTTAAATTGAGATATAACTGTCTGCAGGTAGGGCTCTTTGGACTAAATGTAATCAAATCCAGGTTCAGATTGAGTTTCATATGGAAATCAGGACATGAAAAGTTTGGGAGCCTCTGCCCTGGAGCGCTGTCCCTGGTGCTGAACCCTAAGACAACGCTGCATCTCCAGGCCCCTGAAGTTTAATGACTTGATCCCTGCATTGTCCTTTTTTGGCCCGCTTCAGATGCGGCATTGGTACTCGCTTGTCTGCAAATATAGCTCAGTCTGATAAAGTATCTCGAGCCTCTCTCCAGAGTAGTGCGGCTTGATGCCGACTGCCAGCAGCTATCAGCTGCAGGCGAAGACTGCACACAAAACTCGGGTCAGATGCGAGAAGAACAAGGAGAGACACTCTCCACTGCAGACTGGAAGTTTTTACCCACACCCTCGGGTGG